CCCCTGTATCATTACCCCTCGTAGTTTGCAATTTCTCAGTAAAGAACTGGTATTCCTATCCCCATATCTTTGTCTGAAAGCCCCATCATTTCAAAGGTATAGTAATTCGGAGGTGTGTGGGGGGTGTTTACATTTCCCGGTTTCAAGGGAGGCTTTCCCCTGTCTTCTAAACCAAGACATAAGGAGATAGAAGAATGTATCAACAGAGTTTCTGTGCTCAAAATAATATGAGTTTGCTACAAGGAGCTTCTGGTAGCTATTTTCCACTAGCTAACCTTCTGCAAATGGAAAAGATCAATGTAATTATTTCAAACTGGGATAAGATCAGGAACCAAAGAATCTAAAAGGTGGAGAAAACTACATTCTTAAACTGAGATCACACCTATATTTTATATAGAATTTGGAGATGTAAAAATAAACAAAAAACACTGACATGTTTCAAATATACTTGGTACGATGCAATAAAAAAGGTTCTTTTGTAATTAGCTGAGAAAAAATATCAATATCAATAGCTCAGTAAACTTCTTGGGCTTTGGAGAGCTACTGATGACCACATCACTGTATAAACTCTCTGCCAAGAGCCATAACTGATTTGATATCTTTTTTCAAAACATGTGTTCAAGGGTTTAAGATTTCATAGTCAAACTTGTCTTTACATACAAATCTAACAACCCAACAAGTTTATACTGCATCTGGCACCCATTCAAGATATAAGAAGAGAGACAAACTGATCTTCCTTTGCCGAGTGGCTCTAGAATCAGAATAATTTGATACATAAAAGGTAGGTCTATATTTAAAAATGCATTGGCTGACAGTCAACACTACTTGTAAAATGCTGACTCCCCTAAAAAAGAGGTTATTGACCTTCTTGCAGTTGCATTTTATTGCCAGTATTTGCATAAGAATACCATGAGGTATTTTCACTCATAAAGCAAAAGGGCATTTCATGGTCCACACCATGAATAAAGTTTAGAAGTGTCATTATTAGGTAGTCAGGATAGCTAAAACTCCCCAGATTCAAGCCTCAATATGACCTTAGAATAGAGAATAAAGACAGATTGATAGAAAATACGTATGATTAATTGAAAATAGAAAGGCAAAGCAATTTCATAACCTGAACATCAGTACTTGTTCTGTAAAATTGAGAAAATATGACAGCATAAACCCTCCTCCTTTCATGTAAGTCTAGCTAGTTAGGTACTATGCAGTTTGAAAGATTTGACTTCCAAATGGTAAAACACGATACACAACAAAGAAAAGATTTAACTACTAAATCACAAACATATTAAGAACTATTTTCAAAACCTGACAGTTTGCAAGATGGAGTCTTAGTTAAATCAATCTAGATGGCTTTCCTATTCCAAAACAGAGCAAGTAGTTCCACCAGAAGAAAAAGTTTTTTCTGGAGATAAGTCATTTTGATACAATGTCTGTATCAGCCACAAAACCCTTGTCTGGGAAGGCAATATAAAAAAAAATTATATTTAGCAAATTCCAAAATGCAAAAGCGAGGCCCATTTCTCATGTTCACATACCTAAATGGAAGATACGGTGGATTAGATCCAGACAAAAGCGTTCTGTAAGCTTCTTCTGGTGTTTTCTTCAGGTATATCACCTAAAAGGATAAGGGCAGAGGGGGGGAGGAAAAAAAAAAAATCAACTCTGAGCATGGAAAGTCATTAACCACACTTAAGCTTCACCCAGCCCACTAAAGAACATACACTGTACTCCTTCATGACCAACTCCAACGACAGTTCTAGGTCAGAAAAGACATATCTACACACAGTAAAAGATTCAGAAATGAACAGATGTCAGCAGAAATTGGTTTGTGTCATTCCCCCCCTTAATGCAGTTTAGAGTGACATATTTCACGTGCACAAACACATTTTGTCAACAAAGCTACACACTTTTCCTTGCCACTTCCCTCCAACTCACCTTACAATCAGTGCCTACACGAGTGATTTTTAGCTCTACACACATTTAACTGTCAAATATAAAGTATTCTAGTAATTATTTTCTTAACCAAGACATAGGTTAGTTCCTTATCTAGAAGCTTTTTTCATCTTTTGACCTTGAGCACATTCGAATATAGGTACGTGGTGAATTATTTGCAATTCACTTTATGTCTAGAGTCATAACTCAAGTTAACAGGATTCTTAGTATCCTGTAAGATGTCAACAAGGTAGGTCGATACTCTTGCATTTCTTCCTCAAGCATGGGCAAAGCAGAGAGAAAAAGACAAGGATAAACCAAAACAAAAAAAAATTACTCAAGCTACAATGGAAAGGAGATCCAGAATAATCTGTTTTTCTACTACCATCTATTTCACTGCTTTGCACAACTGGTCTAATTTCAGACTGAAACCCTCTACACAAACTGATTTGCCTTCAAAAGATCAGTTTCATGACATGGAGTCGTATTTCAGTCTCCCTCTCCAATATCGCTGCTCAGCTTATCATGGTCACCTTGATAGCACTGATCAGTATGATCTGTATTAAAAAAAAAAAACCTACAAACCCCACCTAAACTCAAATGTTAAATCTCAGTTCTTTAGCAGGGTCAATATGGCTATTTCATTTACTAAAAATGCCTAAATGACATGTTTCTGAAAATTAATGTCCCTTTGTTTTCCCAAACTTCCATACTGCCCCTTCCTTAATCTCTAGAAGCAACGCAGCCTTTCCGTCATCAAAATAGACCACAACTTCTACATAAAAAACATTCGATTTATTCTGTGTCATCAATCATTTCTGACTTAATTATTGGATTTTTCTTTGCTGGGGTCAAACAAGTGATTACTAATACTGGAACAGACCAAGAGGTTTACTTAATGGATACATGTATTTACTAAATTCAAAAAGCAAAGGGGCCCAGTTATTTTAATTTTTCAGCTGTAATGGGCTGCGTCTGTCTAGAGCAATGTTTGCTAACTAATGGCACCAACTTCATGCTTTCCATCCCTGCAGCATGGCAGTGCTCTTCTGCTTTCACAGTCATTTGCAGAAGTTTCTTTTAGTTTGTGAAAGATCTATTCTCTCTATTTCCTTTACAGGTTTTTTAACAGGTATTTCCTTCACAAAGCTTTTGCATTTAAGAACAGCACATCCTGGGCAATAGATTTGGGCGAGGAGCGTACTTCAAAGAAAGACACTGATTTTATTCACGTCAATGTGAATAATCACATCACTTAGCTCACATTTAAAGCCAAAATTCCTCCTTATACTTAAAAGATCCTTAGAGGGTAATTCAGAGGACAGGGAAAAGATGATTTTCCACCTTGCACAGTTAAGGGCCCAGAAATCTGAATCAGGGGCCAATTTGCACTATATGAATGTTTTCCTAACGCTGCAGCTTTTATTTCACAGAAGTTTTGGTACTTCATAGCTGTCCCTGCTCAAAGACATGTAGACATAACATTTTGAACCAAACACTGCTGTCTGTCCACAAAGCTCATAATAAAGACCTCAGGATGGAAACATGAAAGATATTAAGAACACAAAAGGAAGGAGAGAAAAAGAAACACTGAACAGAGATCCTGAAAAAAAACAGAAGTATTGCAGATGTCAAGAATGTTGTAATAACTGAAGGAGGAAGGATAATGAAATGGAAAAGGAAACACTACAGTATGTCTTCAGTGCTTCAAAGTTAGTGATATGCATTAAGAAAATCAAGAAAAAACAAGGAGACTTTTCTGACTCATCTTTAACAATGAAAACTTAGCAACTGAAACTTAGCTTCATTTTTTAATCTAATATGATAAATCTTTAGAGTGCTTTCATTATTCAACATGTAAAAAAAAAAAAAGCCACAAAGGGCCTGTTGTGAATAGTTTGCATAAATCAAACCCGTATCTAAGAGTAATGTGAGTAAAAGCCTTTAAAAAAGAAAAAACAAAAGATCTCACTTTCCAGATAGTAACTATTCTCTCACAAGAGTTGTTTTACAAGGTTCCCCTCCCTCTCTCCACTATCACAACTATATCAAGTGGCTACCTGTAAAAAACAAATTCAGCAAAGATAGAAAATTTTCAAGTATTTTTTTTCTCTCAGATTTTCATTTCTATGTTCTCAACTTCCTAAATAACAAGATGGTTGAAAGACAAAGCTGGGATACACTGCCAAGAAAATTCATACCACACATCCTAAGAAGTTCACAGAACAAAACTGGAATTTGTATTTTGCAAGACTACCTCAACACTCAGCCACAATATTTCAAATACAATTTGGATTAATCCTGTTCTCACTCACATCTGTCATTTTCAGATTAGAAGCGTATGGAACGGATGCACTCCAGAGCTGCTAAACTATCACAAGAATTCTGTGAAGCCAACCTAAAGCAATCTGAAGGAAGTCGTTGCTTGAAACAGCAAAGAGGCAGTACGTGCTGCAGGAACCAAAAAGCCTTTGCACCAGCTGACCCTGCAAGCAAGAGATCATGGATTGGAGCAGCAGTGCAATATGCTTAGATTACAAGCAAACAAACCTTTCAAGTTTCAGGCAGAGTTCGAATTAAAGTTCTAGGTTTACCAGGAGGAGCAAGTGTCATATGCATCCGTTCTCTCTTCCTCCTGCTCCATTTCTCTAGAAGCACAGCAGAGTCACTCCTACAGACAGACAGGTATTCCTCCTGCTCTTCTCAACTTTACTAGATAGCAAAGCACACAACTAGGTATGGGTTTCCTTGGTTTCCCACCAGAGGAGAAACATAACAAACACCTTAAGAATATGGAGAGTGGGGCTCAGCCCCTAATTCATCCATACGTTATCAGACAGAGGAAAATGCGCGCTGCTTCACAATTTCTCTGAGAATTAATCCTTTGATGACAAGTGGGGAATTCATGTCATTGTTTCAGTATAATTCAGGTAAACCTATTTTCTCTCACCCCTCTTCCCCCCAGAAACTTCTAGGGACAAACTGAGTCAAACGAGGTTACTTCAGTTTCAGTACACATGAAAGTACTTGTAATACTATTTTAAAACAATTTTTAAAGACTATTTTTTTAATTAACTATTGTGAAAGACTACATAAAAGATCCTAACTACTAAAATAAGTCTCCAAAGAGATGAAGGAAAAAGCAAAGCAACACTAGCTTCAAAATATTCCCTGTGGTGCCTCATAAGACTTTGTAAAACCTAGTAGTACCCTGTTTCTGAAACCACTGAGCACTGTGTTGTAGTCTTGGCCACTTAGGAGGAAGCCTGTACTTCCCGGTAATATCAGAGAATTACAGAATCATTAAGTCCAACCATCAACTCAACAACACCATGACCACTAAACCATGTCCTGAAGTGCCACATCTACACGTGTCTTGAACACCTCCAGGGACGGTGACTCCACCACTTAAGAGAAGAAAGTGCAGACTTCTGCATTCTTGTAACACCTTAATTTTTTTTCCTTATTCATTCGAATGTTGTGACAGAAGTAATATTTGTGGAATTCTTAAGAGGAAAGACAATAATTTAGAAACTGGACATGATTAGCCCAAATGTATTGAAAGTCCATTGTAAACAATGAAATTCAGAAAAACACATCTTCCTGAGATATAATTTACAAATAGGCAAGCTATGGCCAATAAAATTATAAGACTTTAGTTTTGCTTAAACTTATGACTCTCTCGTTAAAACATTTTAATAGCTATAGGGTATTTCAGTACAACATGTCTAAGCAGCTTTCGAATGGAACAATCTAAGTTGCATAATCACCATTGGAAATCGATTCCTAGAACCTGATCCATGGTTTTCCAAGTTTCATTTTACATTTAATATTTTAACACCAGGGCAAATTAAAAAAAAAAAAAAAGCCTTCTCAGTTAACTTTCATACATTGGAGAGATCACAGCTATAAGACTTTCTGGTCTCAAAAAGCTTGTATAATTGAAGAAAAGACCTTAAATCAAAGAGTACACATATTTCTGTCACAATGTGGATATTAAAATCCTAATAGATCAAATTGCCGATTACACACTTATTTTACTGATTAGACTCTTTCAAGTCAGGAACTGCTGTAAGTTCTCCAAGAGTGAATTCTCTGATGACAAGTGGGGAGTTCAGGCAATTGCTCCAGTATAATTCAGGTAAACCTACTCTCTCTCACCCCTCTTTCCTCCAGAAACTCCTAGGGACAAATTGAGACAAACCAGGCTAACTGTGCATTCACACATTACCTCCGTACTTGCAGTAAAACAATTTGTTTAACTACCAGCATCTGCAACCTAATTTCTTTCAATATTATCACCTGCATGTATTGAGCTTTGCTTTCAGCATGACCTCAAGCCTGAAAAAAAATACACCAGCTGTCACACAGTATAAAGCCTGACTTAACAGAGACTTCCAGAATCCAGCTGACCATGTCAGCTCGTGACCATAAAACATGCTATCATGAAGACGTCTAAGTTTTCTGCAAGTGTGCTCCAATTCTGGACAGCAGAGCAGAAAGGTGAAATTGAAATTTGAGCTACACCACTATGCAGACACACAAGTGGCTGTGCAAGTGTCCGCTTGGGACTATCATAACTTACACAATATCATAAGTTAGGTTTGCACAACTAAGCCATGTATATTGCATATTTTCTGTAATATTAGAAGGCTGAAATACCTCATTTTCCATTATTCCGTGTAGGCTTTGAAAATTAAGCGAGAGAAGAAATCCTTCCAATAATTACTGTAACTGTGGTCTAGTGCCTTTAAGAAAGGCTCTGAGAGACAGCTCTCTCCTCCCCAGTATGAATCTCACTACTGCCATGAGCAGCAACTGATCCTAAGGCAGCCAACTTTAGAGGCAAGTTTATAGTTTGTATTTTTGACATTCAGGAAAATGGTATCCTGTGAAAAAACATGCACAGGATCTACCAAAAGCAATTCTTGTGTACTAAAGTAAATGGAGTTAAGTGCCAAACACTTCCCTATAAACACATACGGCAGAATTTTCAAAGACAGCCAAGAGAAGAATGAAATTCCAGTCTGCCTACCCACCTCAAAAACCATCCCTTGAGATCCTATTTTACACATCACACACACCTCTAGAGGAAAGTTAGAAGTATCCATGTGATAAATAATACTTACAGCATATGCACCTATTAAAAAAGCTGCATTTGCTCGTTTCCGCTGGTCAAAACTGGTATAGTACACTATCTTCTTTCTTGATAGACTGAAATACTGTTAAAAAAAAACAAAACAAAAAAGACAGCTTATTTACTGAAAGAATAATACACCTGAAAAATCTTTTAAAAGGTCACTTTTCCAAAACTGAAAAGTCAGAAAAAAAAGTCTTACAGACAGATTCTTAAAGGAGAAAAAATTACTGATATCATGAACAATCTTCTGATATTATAGATAAGAGCGCAGGGAAACAGCCACTCTGTCAGGACATACCTCAGTTTGCTGTGCAAAAGTATCCTGTAAAATGCAGTTGAATCAAAATGCTCAACATAAAATACTGAAAATCTTTTCCAATGTTAAATATTTGAACAATAGCTTATGAACATTGATTAAAGATATAAATGTTTTCAGAATAAAACAATTCTTAAGTCTCTTTAGCACATAATTCTGCAGAGACAAGAAAAACCTGAAGCAATCAATCTTAAAGGCCTTTTAAAAGTTAAACATCACTTCCATCTATACTACCTAAAAATGGAATGACAGACATCTTTAGAAAGCTTCAACAGAAAGAATATTAAAACAAAATCAATTATTGCACAAGTGAAAAGCTTGAAGAAAGAAAAAAAAAAAGGCTAGGCAGAGACAAAACTAGTAACACTTGCAATTCTGTATTCTTCCGGAAGAAAAGAAGCCTCTGTCAGAATCCTGTGGACAAGATTCCCATTGAAAACAAGACCAGCAAGCACCAGCAAAGAACGGTAATGACAAACTGCAGCAAAACTACTTAAAGCCAGAGATATAAAATAGTGACTTTAAAATGGCAAGTTAGACAAGTGGCAAGTTTAACGCATTATTTTTTAGCTTCATGAATTGCTACACTTTCATTATATTCTGCAACACTATCAGCCATTTTTTTCCTGAGAGATTTCTACACTACTACTACAGTTCTGAGGAAGTCATCAACACACACCCTGGATTCTGCTTCTGAATATTGGCAGCGTATTTCTATTTTTAGAAGTTGCGCATTTCATAAGCCGCCTTTATATCAGTGCTGCTGTTACCCTACTGCAGGTTAACCACAATTTAACAATTCTAATTTACTTTCTTTTCCTATTCTTGGCACTGAAGACACTTGGGGGTGGGAGATAAGGCAAGTACTGCTGCAGAATTGTGTTTTATTTAAGCAGTGCCAACTGTTTTCCACAAATCTGTAAACATTGATTCTCAAATCTTACTGCAAATTTTAGGACAGCTTTTAACAGAAAGTTTGCAAAAAAACTCCAAATACCTGATAAACTCAGGAGAAAACTGATACATGCATCACAGCGAGAGCCTCACTCTCACCCCCCACAAACCCAGCACTTTACCAGCAGTTCTAACCACACATCCCAGCCTGGTCTTGTCACCCACATCTTCCTGACAGAACTGGGGCTGTCGAGCCTTGAAAGGAGACAGCTGAGAGGAGGATCTTATTAACGTATAGAAATATCTGAGGGGTGGGTGTCAAGAGGAAGGAGACAATCTCTTCTCAGTGGTGCCCAGCAATAGAACAAGAAATACTGGGTTTAAGTTAGAACATAGGAAGTTCCACCTCAACACAAGGAGAGATGACTTCACTGTGAGGGTGACAGAGCCCTGGCAAAGGCTGCCCAGAGAGGCTGTGGAGTCTCCTTCTCTGGAGACTTTCAAAATCCACCCAGATGTGCTCCTGTGTGACCTGCCCTAGGGGATCCTGCTCTGGCAGAGGGGCTGGACTAGATGATCTCTAGAGGTCCCTTCCAACCCCGAACATTCTGTGATTCTGTGACTCCATAGTTAGAAGGAGCAAGAGTTAATGTGACCAAGTACACCTCAACAGGACAGCAATTCTGAGACAGTTGGCTGCTGATGACTGGAAGAGGTTATATCTTGAGACCAAGAGCAACATCTCCCTCAGCACATATGCAAAAAAATAAAGCACAAGTAGTTATTTCATTAGGAAAGCATTCAATTATTATTAAATCTTGACAAAATTAATGCCAGTATTTTAAGTTCCCTCCTTTCTTCCCCCTCCTCAATTTCTTAATTTTAGTGTTCTCTAACTGCAATTCCACCCATGATGTGTAGGTGGGATAAGATTACAGTAGTTACGCAACACTGACAGAACTTCAATTATAACTTGTTGACTACTACTTATTTTAAAGCAAAGTTCTTTCCAACAGTTTACAGTTCACCTGAAATATTATTTTAAACTGCAAAAAGCACATTCTGCTAGTTAGCCAAAAGTTCTACGTAGTAAGATATTTCTTGCTTTATTTTACAGAATGGACTTTTGTTAATCACATTGATCTATCAAGTCATTCCAACTGAGACGCTTCTCTACATGAACTAGCTAAAGTGACAGCTCACCTTAGAAGTTCCCAGAACATTTAAATGAAAGCAATTATAACATTTTCACTGCTTCATTTTCAAAATGTAAGGGTTTCATCATTATGAGCCATATTGCTATATGGAAAATACAAATGGTTTTTTGAATCCTGACTAAAACAGAAATTTTAAAACGGACATTAATTAATAGCTCATAGCATAGCAATCACAGGAAAACTGCATCAAGATTTAACTTTTCAGAAGCCTATAAACAAACTACTGTTTTTATTTGCATAGAAGTTTCAGAAAATCAAGTTCTACAATGTTTGCTGAAATCAACTGAATGCCCCTGTTAACATTAACACACAAATTCTCAACTCGGTACACATTCAATACCAGTACTAAGCTATGATGTATTAAAAAAAAATATTTTCTGACCACATTTAATGAGCTAAGTCTATTCTTTTGACTAGGTTCAATAATAAAACATGTTAGAGACAGTTCTCTAAGGTGACTGTTTTTACAGCTCCAGAGCTCCACCTGAATGAATTCAGGGTTTAGTTCTCCCAGATGCTGTGCAACTTCAGAACAACAAGAAATGTTTCAACAAGAAATTTTTCAATGCAGGTTTTCTACAGAATAGCTCCACTTAGAGATAATATATTAACATAGCTGCAAATAATCTTTCTGCTACAGTAAAACTAACTTGCACTATGAAGCACTAAAGATACTTTTCGGAAAGAAGTTTTTATCAGTTTCACACATTCTTAGAAGACAAACTGTAACAACAGAGACAGAACAGTATCTCTCAAGATACATCCCAGGGGAATATACTCAAAGACAAACTTTTGAACTGAACACAGAGGTTACATGAAACACACGGCAGGTTTTGGTTTAGGTGGCAAAACTAATTCATTGGGTGTATGAGAGGGCTACAGAACACATTATTTTCAGTGTAAGATTACTTTTTTTTCCCTGTTTGAGTTTGAGTTTTTAAAATAATAGTTCAATTCTTGTTTTTTGAAGACCTCAAGATAGTTGCACAGAAGCTGATGGTAGACTTAGTAGGTACCATTGTGGACAATTACTAGACTTGTATCTGTTTAGAATCACCAGATTATTTGACAATATTTTGTTTAATGGATATGGCTCAATATATTTGAATTGTTCAAGCAAGAAAATACTTCAATGTGGATCAACACAATACTTCAAGCCTGGATCAACACAAATATGATTTCTATATATATGTAATGTGTACATATAAAGCACAGTGAATATAAGGCTGGCAAACTGTAAACATGTAAACGCAACCTGCCTCAAAATCTAAGCTGTGCTAAATGAGATGCTTGCATTACTACAGCTCTCTGTGTATGTCCAGAAGTTTTTATTAAAACAAACCAAACCCCTCAGTGATTCAGCTGCAATACAGTTATCATGAAAGAAATGTTAAGCCCATAATTCATAAACCTGCCAAGCACCTTCCTTCTCCTATTTTTGATCTTCCGTCCTTGTATCCTTCATCTCAGCAACAGTCCCTCTCTGATTACCCCTATTTCTGAATTTATTGAAATTGTATAAGGTTATACACACATAACCAGCAGGTTTTTTAAAGCACTTCATATGAAATCAGACTTAAACAGAAGGAAAAAAAAAATAATGTTTCACTAATGAATCACAGTTGCTTTAGCCAAGTATTTTTGCCCCCCCGAACAAGTAGGAAGACAGCACAGCCAAGTACTCTGACTTGGCTGGTCAAGATCATCTCCATAGCAACCAGCAATAAAAAAATACAAACATAAGGTCAGAAAGCTTTTCCTGTAAAGTAGAACCAGGGCTTTGGCTCCAACTTTCTCACCAAATAGATACCTGAATAAATTCTTCAGCTCTTCAGAACAGAACTATTTATTGGTTTTAAAATCAGTTAACATTAAGTTACTTTAAGTCTACTTTAAAATGTTGTACATCTGCCATTAGCACCTTGCAAGCTTGGTACCCCTCTCCTTCCCTACCTACCTCTGGCGGTATTCCAAGCTCTAGCTGTTCGATTTCAGTATTACTTTCAAGTGGTTACAATATCAGGTTATCCTTCTCTATTATGCACTAGTAGTTTAAATTAACCTGTTTTGGATCAGCCTCTTGTAAGGTAGCAGCAAACAGCACCTCCTCACAGCTGATTTGCATGAGATTTCTCTGCCCTGCTCCTGAACATCTGTAGTCTTAAACCAACACCACAAGCATGTTTGCTTTTTTCAAATACAGAAGCTACATTAAAACGACATCAGAATTTTCTAAATCAACCCTGCAAATGTCAGAGTTACTAATTCAGTTTCAGTTTGGCTCCCTGGAGTATTTTTTCCATTATGACATATAATCTTTGTATCATCATGATTACAAGCCATTTATGACAAGCAGCTTGCTTCATTCAATGCAGATGATGGTCTTATAACAAGAATAAAGACTGTAGAAACTTTATTGTTTAATACTGAATCATTCGAGGAAAAACAAATAAAAAACCAAATAAGAAAAGAACTCCTACAAATCCTGAGGTATTTATTAGTTCGGTTCTTACTTTCTGGGTGAAATCCTCGCTACCTGAGGCCCAGTTTGAAATTCAACTATAAAAATATGAAGGTACACTTCAACAGTGATACATGAGATCGTTTTCAGGTCCCAAACTGATCTCAGTCTCAATCTGAATTTGGAAAGAACAGAAGTAATCTCTCTACCTCTCATAGGCAGAGAAAAAGTTAGACCAGAGAGTTTATTCTCAGTTCTTCTGTGAAGTAGCCACTTCACACTCAAACATAAGGTCACAAATAGCAGAGTTAAGGTACAACCCAAAAAAAAGATTCCTAGAGAGCGAGCATCACTGGTCATATTTGAATGTGCCAGTGGCACTGGAAAATAGGGTGAGAGTGTATTTATAAGATCTATTCAGTATTAACACAGAAATAGCAAATCCAACGTTTTCCCAATACAGAGGCATTCAAAATTCTAAATAAACTCAGACTCTGGTATTTCTAACTTCCTGTATTAAGCAGCAATGTAAATTTTCACTAGCAGCACTTTTTGGCAAAAAAGCTGTAGCAACTCTACAAATTACTCAATTTGCAGAATCATCTCTTAAGACTATCTGACATTAGGTCAGCACACCCCTGGAAGCAGCAGACAGCATGGATCAACTAGCATAACGGGTTTCATTTGTGCATCAAATATTAGTCCCAAAACATAATGTAATTTTTGATACAGGAATCCTCTTAACCATGGCCAATGTCTTTACATCTGCTGTCCCACTTTCCCTTTCTGTAACAGGTCATATATTTTATATGATCTGTAATACTCACAGGTCTCCTTAACATTTGCACACAAGTGATAATTAATTAGTGCTTTGAAACCAAAATATTTATTTCATTTCTTAAATTTGATACATTTTCTCTACACAATGCAAATCACTTTTGACAGGTATCTGTGGACCAGGTTTAAACTACAGCCATGTGCTCAACGTACTGGATCTGGCTGGGATGGAGCTGGGTTTTCTCCATAGCAACCTTCATGATCTGTGTTCCAGATTTGCGACTAAAACTCATGTCGATAACACCAGTGTTGTAACTATTGCCCAACAGTGCCGGCACAGCAGCAAGGCCGCCTGTTCCTCGCTCTGCTCTCACAGTGAGTAGGCTGGGCTGGCCAAGACGCTGGGAGGGCACATGGCCGGGAGCGCTGACCCAAACCAACCCAGACAAGGGACGTTCCTGTTCCATACCACAGAATGTCACGCTCAGCAATAAAGCTGAGGAGTCGTTTTTTTCTAAATTAGCAGTTAATCAGAGACTGGGCAGGCACTGGTCTGCTGGTGAGAGGTGATGAGTGACTTTGCCTTTGTACCACTCGTTTTGTTCCCTGTTGTCTCTCCCCACTTCTTATTCCCTGCCTTTAACTGTCTTTATCTCAACCCACAAGTTTTTCTGGATTTTGTTCTTCTGATCCTCTCCCTTGTTGCACACCAGGGCTGGGGTAGGAGTCAGTGAGGAGTTGCCAATTGTTTAACTTCCGGCCAGGGTCAACCCACATTTGGCTTGGGGTTTTATGACAGGACAGTGTTGTTGGAACAAAATTTAGTCATTGTGATCTTCAGGATTAACTGCTGCATTTAAAGATTCTCAACAACTTTATAAAGAAAAGACCAACATTTGACAGTCAAAACTGTCAAAAAGCAACTGTGGTATACAAAGAAGATACCAAAATTATCCATCTCTAGTGAAGAGCAACTTAAAATTGCCTTGAGTCAAAAAATCACCATATGGAACCAAGAAAGGGAGAACGCTTTTACCAATTAGGTGATTGACAGGGACTCTTCTAAAAGACAGACAGAAAAACAAACCTTTTTTATATGTGTAAAGATATATTTCCCTAGCACTTATTAGAAGCAACATTTAATTCAACTGAGTTGGATTTAGAAGTTTTCACTCTTCCACTGAGTGTTATTTAGTCTAAATAGTGTGATTTTGAGGTCCATGTTTTCTTCTTCTTCATGGGTGAGAATTTTGTCTTTGTTTTGGTTCGGGTTTTTTGTTTGTTTGGGGTTTTTTTGTGGTTTTGGGTTCGGTTTTTTTCTATCTGTTTTTTCAGTTATTCACCCACTTCATTTGCTGCAAGCTCCTGAAACACCCACAGCAGTTTTTGTCACTACTGTCTTGAAAGCGTAAGGTTATGAAAACGTGAACATAGCCTTCAGTGTCTCACCTGCTAAGCTGTGAGAACATATCCATTTTTCCACTCTTCAGTGGAAAAAGAATTCAGAACAAAGAATAACCTTAAAGCTTAGTAATAATCACTAGACAATGAGCACCTAACAACCACTTTCAAACTGTATAATAGATTTTAGTTGAATTTCAAAACAAAAATACAGGACCACTGTTTTTAAATAAAGCTTACCTTTAATTTCTTATTTAGTTTACAGCAGTATCTGTACAACATTGCCAAATTTAAAGGCCCAAAGTCTCCATAGAAGCTAGGAGAAAAAGAATAAAAAAAAAGTAAATCTGTTATTCATATCAAAGTTGAGCAAATTTCAACATGCATGTTGACAAACCTGTGCATCAGTAACTTTTGGTGGATACTAAGTTGCCAACATATATGGCAGTAAATCCTCTGCTGATTCATTTAAGAGGACAACAGTAACAAATAACTTGAAAGCATTTGTAACTTAAGAAGTTCCAGTAACTACCTCTTCCATTATATACACACATGCTAACTACAGGACTTTTTCTTCATCCCATGATATCCAGTCCGGTTTTGGCCAAAACTACAGAGCAAAGGCATGATCCACTCCCCTTTAAGCCATGCTGATATATTCCTAGATAAAGGTTCTACAGCTGCTTAAGATGAGAATACATTATTAAATGCTATGAAGAATAGGTTGAATAGAGTTTCTTATGGGTAGTAAAATTTAATATAAAATACAAGCTTATTTCTTTTTATCCCATGCTCCGCTATTCCATAGGTTACCTATTACATATACACTTCACATATACTTATTTTTCCCTTTATTCCCCCAGTCCTCCTGTTTCTAGGTTTTTCTCCCAATCTATTATCTACTTCATATCTTCTGATTGTTCTTGTTTCTCTCTTCTAGATCCTTCTTAAACATTCTTATTACCTTTGAAGCAGCAATCACTGTCCTCAGGATAAGTGCTAGTAGCAGTAATCTGTACAGGAAAATTATTGCACAATAGAAGTTCCTGGCATGGATTCACAGCATTAGCTAACCCTTCCCACAGACACCTTTAGAAGTAACAGCAGCCTTTACACAAGTAACTTACAATGACACCTTCCAGAGCTTTCTCCCTCCTCACCCATTGTGCAAAACTAATTAAAGTTGAAGTTGCAAGCTTTCTCCAGCATTTTTCCTTTTTGTGTACAGAAGTCTTTATCTCAACAGTCTATGAAAATTTGTTGATGCACGTGTTATACATTACAATGAGAATGGACTATAAGTTGGTTTAATATACTAAAGTCAGTTTAATGTACTAAAGTCTTTTCATAAGAGGGACAGGAAACTTCTTGCCTACTGGCAAACAAAAGAGGCCGTGGGCATCCAAACGTGTGCTACCTGGGGAATGACAAAAGAAGGACATAACTATGTTCTACCACTTCTGGGCTTCGAAGGAGTGAAATTTTACTGAAATCAGATAATAGAATAGGTGGTAGTACCTTTCAAACTTTCTTCCCCATGGCAGAGGGAGAATTAATTACATTCCAGTTAAACATAATAAGAAAACTTTTTACTTTGAGCAGTCAGTTATTGGGGAGAGGTTGCTCAGACAGGCTGTGGAGTCACAACTCAGCTGCACAAGGCTCTGAGCAACCGGCTCTTACTGACCTTGCTTTGAGCCCACGGTTGGATTAGACAATCTCCAGAGTTTACCTCCAGCATTAGCTCAGTCAAAGACTAAGCTCTTGGACTTCATTTGCAGGTTGCACAGAAGTTAACTCGAGAGAAAACTGCAGTGGCAGTAAAGCACAATTTTAGCACTCCCCATATTTTCTTAGATCTAAGTTTGCCAGATATAGTCAAGTTATAATTATTAAAACAAAACCCTCCATATAGTTTTTAATAGAGAAGAAATTTAAAAAACAAAAACAAAACACAACAACCTAAGAAGGACAAGTGTGAGTTATGACAAATAAGTTAAAACTGGAGCTCAGAAGAGTGAGTGTGGCTTCTAGGAAAGCTATATAGAAGGCTTACTAACATCTATTCCCATTCTGCTGTATCAACACCTTTAAATCAAACATTCCTATCTTGTTCCATTCACTTTATTCTTTCACCTCAATATATGATGGAAGAGTAGAATTTAGGATTGAAAGTATTTTTCACAAAATAATCTTACAAGCACTGTGAAGGTGTGGAATTTGATAATTACTAGAATACAGAACACTTTTTTAACCAGTGCAAGTAGCTTTGATAAGCTCAAACACACAACTGAATTCACAGTTTGTCTAAAGCACTAAAGAGCCTCAGCTGTGCTTTAGGATAGCTATTAGTATTCATTTGCTAGAAGTAAATGAAGTCATATAACTACTTTTCCACATGATTAAACCCAGAAGTGTAAGAAAAGCACATGAAAATGAATTTACAAATCAATTTATCCACGAAAGACAAATTACTATTTCGGTGGGGATAAGGGCAAAATGTATTTATCTGGTCTATTCAGGAAGTAATTATATTTCTAGAAATAAAGCTGTTCAGATTCGGCCACTAAGCTAAAGATGTCAATCTGAGACTAAACGTTTCTACATTGCTTATTATCACTAAATAAGCTGTGCTTCTCTTAACACAAACAGGGGAGGGGATAATCAGGTGCTTAGAACTCTGGTACTAGCACTGTTTGTGCTGCAGAAACAAGACTTTCTTAGAACTCAAACATGACCATAAAGTAAGGGCACTTCTGGTCATGGCTGCGCTAGCGTCAGCACCTCCACACCAAATGCTGGCAATTCCCAAGTTATTTCCCTAACACGGTGCAGGCAGTATAAACCAGCCATTGGTCCTTATGTGATGGAGAAAGGTTATTTTTAAATGTAGAATTTTAAATTTCTCCACTTAACACTTCTCAACTGAGCATAAATTTGAGCATCCTTTTTTTGATGGAGCTAAGTGAAACAAGTGCTTTTACAAACCTCCAAATCAGAGTCCTCTGAAATAATACAAGACTGTACTGAAGCCAACAAACTCTGATCTACAAAATTCTTCTTCAGTTTATATACTTAGAACTAAATACAGTTTCTGACATGTTTAAACAGAAGGGTTTAATCTTATGCATCCTCATCTACTTTTGGTATAAAAAGGCCATTTTTGTACTTGAATAACAGACACTTGATCCTGACTCACCCAGAGGATTTTCTTCTTAAAACCAGAATTTTGACAGAGTTAAATGTAAGTACAGGATGAGAAATAGGGGTTACAGGGAACAGGGAAGAAGTGACACACCAAATCGTCATCCGAGTAAAGATTTTTATCTGGCAAAAGTTTAATAAATAAATACAAAACCATAACAGAAGTCAAATCACGTTACGTGATAGTCACTGGCAACAATCTATGCAATATTATTTTACTTCTGTCTCTTTTACAGGTAATAGACCTCCTCTGTATCTAGATGTTTTAATAAGGATGCCTCTGAAGCTTAAGCCAGTTACGAGAGACAGTCATTTACAATGGAGGTGGGAACCAGATATAAGCAACAGAATGCAAGTATGGTATTAATCTACATTTAATTATATTTTGTTTTCATCAAGTACTTAAATGATAGCTTAAATTATTCTTCCCCCTCATCCCATAGAAACATGCTATCCTTATGCTTCTCCAATTAAGTAGTAACAAAACCCCAGAATGCACCAGATGAATATTTAAATGCTCTTCTTCAAAAAATACTGTCATAATGCTACCTAGAGGCAGTAGCATTTTACCTTAGCCCTAGAACCACTTCTTCCTGTCAGTGCTTACAGCAGATCTGAGGTATTTTCTGTGTTGTATCATGGGACTGTTCAGCCACCTAGGAAGGCCACACCATGAAAAGCTTGTTGGTCTACTCTGTCACACAAGCAGTTACTGGGGATTTAATGGTGAAAAACACAGTCCCCAACTCTAGAGGACAGCAACTCGTTTCTGACTGCAGTTCCATGGGACGGCACCTGAAGGTGCCATGAGTCAGCTCAAGCTTTGGGCACCTCTTCTAAATGCTAGTCGCTTCTTACCAAGCCTTTGAATGCCACTGACAGCGGCACAGCAGAAGAATGATAGAGAGTTTTCATATCTTGAGTGATGAGGTGGAATCTGGTTATGATCAATGATGAAATACTATAGCCTGGCAGTCTTTGAAACAAATTGATAACCTCCATATTAACATCACAGTCAATGTATTTCTGGCCCAGGGATCAAGCCATCTTTCAAAGATAAATTGCACTAGGTATACTTTACTGCACAAGTCCCAGAAATTTTATACTGCTACTCACCTACAATTTTGTGCAACAGAAGTACGAATGACAAGATAGAGGATTCCTATCTGATAACTTATTTGGGGATTCTTTTCTTCATGACAGACCAGTCCAAGTTCACTACAATTGCTACAACATACGAGGGTATGTGTGCATTCTTACCAGGCTGTGGGCATTTCCAACAGTTTGAAGATGGTCCAAATCCTAATTACCACACTGAGGGGCAAGGAGGGGAAATAAGACAGATCCACCAAGTCAGTTCTGACAATGCAATGATGCTCAGAGGGGATGATGTTACCTACATGCTCAGTTATTGATTTAGTAACAGTAAAAGAGGCCACAGTTTAATAATGGCAATTATTTTCTATGTACACCAGAACTGGAATACAACTACTCTTTTAGGTAGGAACTTCGAGACTAGCAAACATATGAAGTCTTTTTTTGCCAAAGTTACTTTGGAGCCAAATTTTGCCAAAACTTTCAGGAGTACCCCAAACTTGCAATTACTCCAACCAAGATATTAACCACAAGAACTTTAGAAATTAGCAAAAATACAGCTTCCTAAATGCAAAACTAGACTATTTTTTCTGCATTTTATGAAAATCCCGTTTACTATTAAAATTAAGCAGTAAGACTGAATTAGAACAAGAAAAACACCCTCTACTTGCTTTTCTCCGCCTCTTTTCTAGGCTGGATTACTGGAGCATTCAGATCACAGCACTGTAAGGCCTTTGCCCCATGAGTTCTGCATTTAGCCATTACGCAGTACAACACCCAGCTACTGCATTAGTGACCAACTGGCTACCACAGATAAATGCCTCAGATCACAAGGCAATTACATCTTACATGCACCAGAGTTTCTGAATGAAAGCCAAGTGGATCAGGAAATCTTACCTATTCAGTTTTCTTTCTCCACATCCCATTTCCTACAGCATGTTTCTCCTTCCTACTTCTCAAGCACATGAAAAAAGGTAGGACACTCAGTTGCACTCTCTCCCTGCTCTAGCCCCACCA